ATTTCCATTAAGGCTTCCTTAGTCTCATGGCAAATCTGAGTAAGCATTTTCCTGAGTTTGCCTTCGTGCAAGGTTAAAACTCAACTAGAAATAATAAAGTGCTACTTGTCATTACGATAACATTACTCATTATAAATGAGAAGTTAAGACAATCTATTATGCTTAAGATGGGTTAGGAATGGATAGTAAAATATTACCACAGTAAAATTAATGGACCTCAGATAAAATATTGCCCTGCTTCAAACAATCCTAACTCATCTAGTGTATACAGAAATTTCGGCCTCGGCTATATCTCAACATTATTTTTGGGATTTTCATTTCGTATAAAAGTATAGGAAGAAGGTCGATCTCACCAGAAGAGGACGGTTAAATCCCACTATGCGGCAATAGGTTTGCTGATCATGGTACCTCTGTGGTTAAAAATAAAGCTAAGAGAGGCTATTGAAATAAATAGATTATGAAATACGTCGGATGTGAAGAATGGCGGTAGAAAGTTAAGTAGGAACTACTTATGCTTGATTAATAAATTGAGATAGAGAAGTGTTGAACCGCGATTGAAAAGAAGGTGATCAGAATAAAGATAATTAACAAAACCATTATATATCGATCTATTTTTTTAATTATCTTTTGCTTAGCTGAGACTATATAAGAGGTAAGCTATAGCCGGATAGTATTCTTATCTTAATGTTAACTTGAGAATTTTACAAGAATGAGTCCAAACTATGATGATGTCCATCATATGATGGATGAAAACTAAGCCCACTTTCACCAAAAAAGAGGGAGGTATTATGGGCTGCGTCAATCTTAACTTCGTATGAAAGCGAAACGGCGGAATTACAACTGGATTCAACGGCCCTCTTATAGTGAGGTCGACATTCGAATATCTTCTCTATACCCTTCCATACGAAATGAAAGTCCGAGCAATAATGTTATCTCAGGAGATTAATTGAAAACCAGTTAATCTTCATATATATCAAAACAGGCACTCCCTTGGAATTCCTCACCCTACGCATACAATTCGCTCACGAATCGTGTGGGAGATTCGAAGAAAACCTGTAGAAGTTTAAAACTATAGTCTAGCCTAGTTCTGGAGCCATTTTTTGAGAAAAAGCATAGGTGAACTCAAGGGAGTGTAAAGTGCATTTATAACATTGTGGGTAAACTCAATTCTTAGCCCTTAAATCAGTTTTGTGGACTAAATTTATTATGTTAAATATAATAATGGCCTTTAGAAATACTAAACTTAAATATAACTACTGAATATCTGCCATATTGCAAGTAAATCCTTCCTTATTGGGCAGTCACAAATCAACGATCTTAGCTCTTTAAACTTCAAATCATACATTCTTATTTGACCATCTTCAGATCAATTTTCCCGCAAGCATATTAAAAGGTATCATGAGGACAGTACGCAATTGCTTTTATTTTGTTCGCTGATTTGCCCCAAGTGAGAGCAAAGCTGAATTATATTGTATGAAATAAATCATTTTTTGTCATATCTAAGGATAGTTTACTGCAATAGTGGAGCCTATTAATTGCACTGTATAAAATTCTATCAACGGTCCTAAGCTCAACTTAAGTGACTAAGGATGACCAAAGTAATTATTAATTAACTTTATATATTGGTTAAGCTGATTCAGAGGTAACTGAGAAACAGGAAGTCTCTTCAGGATCAAGAAATTGGCATTAAAGGTTTAATCAGAACCCAAAAAGATATAATCAATATGGGTAAAATCAAGTAAGTGAAACTAGTGCTAGTTTTGGCAAATTAGTTCTTGAACTAAAAGATTTGTTTTATACTTACATCACAAGCTAATAAGTCAACAGGAGTCACTCTTCCGAAAATCAATTGCCAAAATATATATATATATATATACAAAAGTAGGTTGACCTCGTTGTCGCAACTTAGTTTTGTGGTTTGGGCGACTTAGTAGAACGCACCTAGTTCGAAGTCCTCTGTCATAGTAGGTGCCATGATTCCCAGCATCAGACAGTGGACTTGGTAAATTCTCAAGCGTTTCGCCGGCATAGTAGTCGGCATCATCAGTGAGCTTTGCCATTCGGCGCAACACGTTATGAACTCGTGAAAGAGACAAGTGAAGTCAATCTCTCGACAAGCGTTCTCCAGAAAACGGTTACACTATCACTCCTCTTTCTGTCCTGGCTTATCTATCTACTCTTTACCCTCATATGCCAAAGCCGCCCTATCACAATTTCTCACTTGCTTGCATTCTACTCGTCAAAATGTGTTCCATTTTGTGGAAAATCTAGTGTGGCCCTATCACATTTGCTATTTACCACGACGCCTCTTTTTCGATCGGCTTATCTGACACGGGACTCCAATTCGGATCTCTTCATTGTCTCGTAGATCCGCTCACTATCATTATGGTTGACTGATTTACTCGGTTCTTGTCCCTGTGTGCATTTCACTCCAGGCGCTATTACTTAAGGCCCTAGAAGCACATACATTGCCGCTTAACTAAGCAGAGTGCCTTAGCTCTGAGTTATATGCTTGCAGATATAGGGTCTTCCCTTCACGGGTCCTCTCCTTGTTTAAACACATATTATCTTAGCAAACTGTGAACGCCTATCACTGGTCGCATGCAGCCATAATGCCGAATTTCCGTGACGGTGTGTTTATCCGTTTGCCCAGCTCCCTGATTGACACGCCTCCAAAGTTGTACTAGTTTATTCGAAATGTACATCACTCACTGACAACGTCTTCGCTTTATTGCCGAGAACCCCTGCCCCTTCCTTTTTTCTTGGTGTCCATTTTCCTCCTGTTAGCGGTAGATCTTTTATCCAGACATCTCTTTTTTGCTGGTCTTGCTCCATTTTTGTATTCCCCGAGTTTGCTTAAGCAGTAGGCAAACTTATCGCTAACTCTACCTTCCTCCAATCTCCTGTTCATTAAATTTTTCTCCCCAAGGATGTCAATGGCCTCCCCAATCTTCCTCTTCTTTGTGTTGTCACCATGTGGAGCTCTTCTTTCTGTTGCCTTCTAATTGATCTCGTATCCAGTCTGTGCGATGTGTTCAGCTAGTTCTGATCTTTCACTATCCATTTTCCTGCAGAGCCTCTGATGTTCCTTTATTCGTGTGCTAATTTTTCTCCCTGTTTGGCCAATATATTTCTGTTTGCACACGCCGCATAATATACAGTAAACTCTTGAACAATCTAATTTAGCTGACCTTTCATGTTGTGTCGGTATACTTGTATAAAGTGTTAATTTCTCTTACATGGCCACCTGAATATACAATTTACTCAATATTGGCGATAGTTTTCGAGTTAGTTCGTAGAAGGGTAGGCATATACTCTTTGCTGAATCCTTCATCGTCCTTACTATCCTTACATAGTACCCGTTCTGCCATCTGCTTTTCACATTTCTTTGTATTACTTCGCTTGAGTAGACATTGCCGAGGAATATCCCAGTCAATTTGTCCAGCTCCTTGTCCCAGAATTCTACATCCATTAAGCGTAGGCTTTGGATCATCATGCTCCCCATTATTCCAATATTCAGCCTGTAATTGTGATTGGACCGGAAATGGAGTATTATCTCAGCATAGAACTTCTTTATGAACAATTTCTGTTTGAGCGTTCCATTAGAGCGAATCACTTCAACGTCCAGGAACGCTAACCGCTCATCTTCCTCTACTTCCATCGTGAATTAAATTTTTCCATCAATTTGATTTACAAACCTCAGAAACTCTTCTAGTTTTACTTCCATATAACCAAAGTAGGCTGACCTCGTTGTCGCAACTTGGTCTTGTTGTCAGGGCGATTTAGTCGAACGCACCTAGTCGGAAGTCGTCAGCCATAGTATTTGTCGTGATTCCCAGCATCAGGCAGTGGACTTGGTACATTCTCAAAATGTTTCGCCGGCATCGTAGCCCGCATCATCAGTGAGCTCTTTCATTCGCCACATTAAGCTACAAACACGTCAAAGAGAATAACCTTCTGCCGAAAACGAGTACACTATCACTCCTCTTTCCGTCCTGACCATTCCATATACTCTTTACTCTATTATCCCAATGACGCCCTATCGCAATTTCTCATTTGCTTAATTCCACTCGTCAAAATATGTGCCATTTTGTCGCAAATCTAGTATCGATACATAAAAATTGCTATTTACACCATTCCTCTCTTTCTATCGGCTTTTTAGTCTCGAGCCTCTAATCCGGATCCATTCATTTGGAAATCCAATCATCACTCCTTTATCACTATAAGACCTAGGGTGACCAGGTCGAATACAGTAGTCATTTGCTTTAAATCTGCTTATAAAGTGCAATTCTAAACACAATGAAAATATAATAGTGACTTTTAAATAAGAAATAAAAAAGATCCAGTAGTTTCTAATGGAGTTAAAAAAATTGATCATGCCATCGCATGTACCACATCAACTCAAATTATTGTGGATACATAAGCGTTATAAATGATTAATTACCATAAGATATTTTAGGTAAGTAATAAATAGATATGACACAAAGTTAAAAAATAGACAAAATACGTTTTCACGTGGCTGTAATGAATGCTACAGAGTTAATATACTTGTCCTGTTTATAGCTCAGGAATTAAATCCTGAATTGAATTTTAAAAAAGGAGGCATGCCAATGAGAAAGTGTAATTAAGACTGGGATGTAATAAGGTTAGAAATAGCTATCATATTAAAATGCGATGTTTCTGGAATACAGAATTATCCGTCTTAAATATAAGCTATTAAAATATTTTATAATTAATAAAGTTAATTAACGTTATAAGTTAACCTTCGTTTTGAACTAAATACATGTTAATCCTCTTAATATAAGCTAAAAAAATAAATAACTTTGCTTTATCTTATATTTGGGCGCTTTTTTGATCGCCTATTCAGCTGGTCTCAGTGGTCTAACTTTCATTCGCCCAATCATGCTATGTGGTGGTATCTCTCCTGCTCGTACTCCTACCTTGGAAGAAAAGGAAAAAATCGAGAAATTTGCAAGTTTATGTTGTTTTTATATCTTTAGGTTCTCAAGGAATTGGGTCAACATGTCGGACCTTTTGAGTCATGTGAAGTTGTTCAAATAGCGACTCAAGTTGTGTCTGGAATCAACTACTTCGTAAAAGTAACCCTTGTATTCTCTTATAATTTTTTAAGGTAAAAGTAGGAGAAAATTGTCATCATGTTCGTATTTATGAGACATTACCTCATGCCGGAAACTTAATGTCCATACATTCTGTGCAGAAGGATAAGCATCATGATGACAGATTGATGTATTTTTAAAAAATTGCATTTTATCTATAAGTTAAATTAAAGCATAATATAACTTCATCTCGTACCTTATTTGGTTTTCTATAATATACGTCTTTTAAGTGCCTTGTGAAATAATGCTTTTGATCGAAATGTTAACACATTCTTATTGATCGGAATCGGACTGCCTAAATTGCTCTTTGTTTTCGGAACATAAACTATTAAGTTGATGACTTCTCGCCGAACAGTGCGCAAAGGTGTTTATCTTCTTGGATGTTCGAAGCATCATATTAACAGCTTAGCGGATTGAACATTTCTGTTTTTTTATGTTACTTAATTTCCTAACTAGCCTAGTCGTATGATAC